CTTCGACCATGCCCCTAAGTGTGGAAGAGTGTCAATGCTAGAAAACCCTAGTGAGTAATTATCATTGTGTAAATAAATCACATGTTCTTTGGTCGTAGAAAATGTCAGATTTACGGGGCTTAACGTGGTGACTGTTCTGTATTATAAATTGTAACGTGCCATAATGTATTGGTCAACTTGTCGTGTTAGCCAAGTGGTACTGTTAGCCTTTGACCATCACATCCATTGTATTATTATTTAGAGTGCTGTCTAGCCATTGTACTACACCCACTGTTTTCAAAGCTCCAGATAAGATGGAGAAAAAAGCTGGAGGAGGAGGACCTCGAGTTGGCTAAGCTGAATAAGAGGAGTAGCGTATCTTGAAAGTGAAAGAAAGACTGACAAGACAGTTTGAGCTCGGGAAACACTCCAAAGACGCTGAACTGAATCTAGCCCAAGGTAGAAAAGCATCTGACATTATTCAAACCAGCAATGATCAATTAACAGGTTTTGATTCTCCACCACTGATTCCAGCCATAGCGCTTGGTACACAGGTTATATCTGATGTTTGTTGCTCGCAATAGTAATGCTGCTCTGTCCCTGTCCGCTTTTGCTAGCTCTAATCCGAAAATATTGGTGCCTTTGCACACCCAGAAAATTGCAGCAAGTCAGGCACAGCAAACGTGCTACAGTATTTCACCATTTCCTTCTGGGACTACGGTGTGTAGCACCCATTCCTAATGTCACTGTTTGCTCTTCCCCTCCTAATGATACAGGTAAGCATTTCTCAGCACAAGTGACACCGACCATGCCGGCACCGCGTGAACAATAACCCCAAGGACCCTCTTCACCTGCTAATCAAGGGGGCCCTTCCTTCGGTCAGCCAATGGCACCAACTGCTGATCCAGGTATAAATCAGAATCAAATGTTGAGCTCAATGTTGGCAGCACCAGCTGGTGGAATTAGCATGGAAATAACAGTCTTCAATGGTGGAAACCCCCCAGAGTTCCGTTGCTTTGTGGCTATTGTTGAGGGCTGTATCAAACTGCTCGTTCATCCAAGTAAACTACAAAAAATAGTTCATTGTGAGGTCCTAGCTACCTGGACAACCTAGAAAAATTTTTTGGGTTTGAGCACCATGCCAATCCGTCTACCCATGCATTGTCAACACTGCGTAAGCTGTATGGAGACGTCGATTTTCTCACCCGAAGTAAGGTTGAACATATCACTTCCTAGCCTAAATTGGCCGCCCATGATTCCAAAGGACTTGTGGAATTTGCGTCCGCCGTCTCGGCTTTGGTTATTCAACTTAAGAGTGCCCCTTTACTTCACTGCCTGCGTCCTCTATGGCAGGCTTCCTCATATTCACCAGACTGCCTTTATGAGGGCCATGAGTACCAAAGGTGTGCGTAACATCAATGGGTGGTTACAGGAAAGATCCAGTTGAATGAAGGACTGAAGTCTGACACATCACCCAGTAATCATGAAAGACGACAAAGCGGTGCTGCTGCTTACCTCATCAAAGCTGAGAACCAAGCAGCCAGTGTTAACAACAAGACAAGTAAAGCGTCTCATAGTTGTGATTCGGGGGGTGTCCAGAGCAACCAAGGAAAAGAAACCTTTCGTGAGCACTGCCTCCATTGTGAAGGGAACATTGGATTTCCCGTTGTGACAAATTAAATAAACTTACTGCAGGCCAGCGAATTAAATGGATAAAGGCAAACCACAGATATCGGAGGTGTGCCCACAAACAACGAGAGGAGCACGAATGCGAGCTACGTAACTTTGACCCCAACTTCTCAGTTTTCTATCGCGATGGCAGTCCTTAGCATCTAAAGGAAGTGAACATGAACTTTTTGCCTGTCATCTTGTACGGCGATCGAACATCGCTCACAACTTATTGTCTGTTGAGTGATGGGTCGAACTTCTCCACGATGCCAATGGTAACTGCCGAAGCCTTGCACCTGAAAGGGACTGCAACAGAGATTACGACGGCTCGAGATGCTTGTAATCTTTGTAGGGGACAGATGATAAATTTTGACATTGCTCCTCTGGGTGATCCAGACTTGAGAATGCATGTGAGCAATGTCTTCCCCTCTCTAATTCTTAGGTTATCTGAGCATTCCGTCTCTGCCCAAGATCTTCAAAGAAGCTGGCAAAATATCCCTTTGCATGACTGTCAAAGGTAAGACCACTTTTTCTGCCTGGAAGCGACTGCCCGGATCTGATGATCCCCAGAGAGAGTATTTTTGGCCCAGAGAGTGCCCAGTAGCGATCAGAACAAGATTAGGATTGGCATTGAAGGACCGGTCATGCGGCGAGGAGGACAAGGAAAGCTGCACTACCTCTCTAGCAACAAGATTCTGTCCTCCATAAAAAAGTCTGTCGGATGTGGAACATGGATATCCAGATACATGCTGAGAGAAAGCAGGTTACCAGATCAAAGCAGGACCAACGAGTAGGGGACTTACTTGAAGCAAAATCAACCTATGTCAAGATGGGTAATGTGCGCCGAGTGGCGACACAACTTCTGCGGAGGCTGGATAAACCCACATTCTCTTGTCCGGCCAGTGCAGTGCAGCCCTCGTTGAAGAGAAATGAACAGCACCTGTTGAGAGACCCCATTTTGGCATAGATTCATTGTAGCGAAATCCGGGAACTCCAGGAAGGAGGCCTTGTCCGTTCTGTTGTCCACTAAGGGGGCGACTAGGAACCAGAGTCGCAATGGCATACTCCGCATCATGTTGTGCACAAGGATGACAAGCCCCGTCTTGTCTTCAATTCTGCATTTCGCTACGGAGGTGAATCCCCAACGAAAAAGTTTTTCCAGGCCCTACTCTTGGTCATCATTGGTTGGTGTTCTCCTCAGATGCCGAAAACACCCGACGGCCATATGTGGAGACATCAAGGTGATGTTTCATTGCGTCTCAACTTGCGACCGTGGGGCTGGGATGATGAAATTCCTGATGAAGGCGAGGAAGGGATACGGGCCAAGCATTTGAGGTGGAGGGAAGACCTTGCCCAACTGAGAGACATCAGCTTGCCTAGATGCTATACTCCTCTGCACTTCAACCCTGCAACCCGCAGCTACCAGCTGCATGTATTCAATGGTGCGTCAGAAAAGGCCTAGGGGGCGGTAGGGTACCTGCTAGCAATGAATGAAGTCTGTGAAGTCTCAGCTCGATATGTAAAGACTAGATCTCGTTTAGCACCAAAGCGTGTACAAACTATGCCGAAATTGGAACTGATGGCCGCAGTAAGTGGAGCTGAGTTGGTTTAACTCTTGGGGGATGAATTGTCCATGAAAGCCCCCCATACCTGTGAGCAAGCGACAGTACTACTGTTCTCGCTTGGATACAAACAGAGTCCTGTCGCTATAACCGCTTTGTTAGTACTCGAGTTGTTGAAGTTCAACGGCTGACGAATAAAGTCATCTGGCGGTATGTACAGTTGCAAAACAATCCCGCAGATGACCTTACTCGAAGTCTAATCTGCCATTTTTTAAGTGCAGATTAGATTACTGACATAAATTCTAGACTTTCATTGCATTAATGATATAGACCATGCTATCTCAAACCATCAGAAGTTCGTGACGGTAGTGACTTCTATCTAAATTTGGGTAATCCTGATAGAGCTTATTGTGGTCTCTAAAACATGGTGCTGTTGAGATAGTAATAACCTGTACATGCCAAAGACATGAATGGAGGCGTGGAGGGGGCAATGGGGCCCACCCCTCCCGAAAGGACCCTAACATTTGATTTAAAAGATAATGAAAGAATTGCGAAGATTTGGTCTACTTCATTTTCTTCCTTCAAAAGCGACAAAATGTAGCCTCACCCTCCAAGAAAGGTTATCTAAAAAATATTTCCAATTAAACAAGTTGCCCCCCTCGAAGATTTGGATTTGTTTCCGTCCTGCCTCCCCAAGTAATGAAGTCAAAAGTGGAATACGTCCTTGTGAGATATATGTGCTTAACATAAATCCTCATCAAATCGCCACCATCTACCTTGAATAATCAACCACCTAATGCCTGGGGAAGGGGAACCTTGAATAATCAGAAACCGTAGGCCTATACCACAACTTCATACGGTCCACCAGCAGCAGTGAAAACGTCATAGATTATAATATCAAGTATTCGTAAAGATGATAAATTGCGTAACGTATACAGTTTAGCTTTCTGTAAAGAAGCGAGTTATTTTTGACTGATATTTTGACTGTTTTCAATAAATGGCGTTTATGCATCCATGGTTAATAAAAACAGTGCTTACACCTTTTGGGTGTGAAGATCCCTTTATAAATTGAAAACAAAACAAATTTGATCGACCGAATATCTGACCTGTGACACGGTCAGTAGTTAAAAAGAGACAATATTTGTTTTTGTAACAGTCGAGGCAGTCTTAATTCGGTAGTGGCCTTTTCGTTTAACGTACAAGCTTTTTTAAACAAGCGTATTCAAGGAGGAACACCTTTATTTGCATGATCTCTTGCAAAATATAAATAGAACCTAAATCAACAACGACCTCCTGCGTGTTAAAGGGCTTTATTCCGCGAAAGATGATTGTGGCTGAGACATGTATTAGAATTACGTTTACAACTTATTTTACTACTTACTCAACCGGGATCATTTCTGTTGACCCGACCCATGAGTAATCAGGTGGATGGGGTTCACACGCCGCCCCATTGATTCTAATAAGGCGAATATCGTTCTACTTTATTTCTCTTCCCTCCAAACGCGTGTTAAGACCCCCTAAATGTAGTATCTCTCCAGGCTACAAAAGGTATCATGAAAATAATTCCAAACTTTTGCTCCCTCAAAGAAGGAACCCCCCAGATTTGGTCTAGATCCGCCCTTGGTTGTAGCTCGCAGATAACGTTATATTCGATCCTACCCGGACCGACATTATTTTTACAGTTATAATGCGAGTCTGATCCTAATCCAAATCTAATCCAAATCGACGTTGCGATGTCAGATTCGGGCACAGTGCACATCTTCATAGGACAGTCACTCAACGCATTCATACCTGCTCTGACGTCAGATCCAGCATTTCCATGTTTCCATCGGCCATGTCATATCCAGCGGGGTTCAGTCGGATAGTCCGTGGCCGTGGAATCCTATGCGACACGCGGCTGTACATCAATTCAGAGAATGTCGCTTTTTTGGGCCGGGCACTAACCCTCCGTCTCTTGTTCATGGTCGAGGTGATTAGCACGGTGCTACAGCATTAAGCATTAAGGATCAGAACACAGCGTGGTTTTGTATAAGTGTTCATGCTCACGGAACGTACTCAGTGTACCAACTTGCTCGGCGAACGGAGCGCTCATGCAACACTTTTTTTTGCTGCAACAAACACCAGTTTGAACTTTGCTCCTTGAAATCGGTACAATGTTGTCATTGTGACTGTATTTGTTTTCCAGTTGCTTCATCCCGTTTCGCAATGACAATGACGGTGTTAAGAGTTATTTCAGTCAAGCAGCTTGTCGCTGCACTTTGACCGTGAGTAACCTCCGGAACAGCCGGAGTGACTGCATATTGTTCCACGGAATACCAGACAATGCTCAAGCATTACAGAGAAGGGATGAAGTGCCCAGAAAATGAATTGAATAAAAAGGGTGGTTCGAGTCTTGAAGGGAAGCCCGCTTAACCTCCTATTGAAGGAACTTGCATGACATAAAGGGAGTTGCATTGGGATTTTTTGAATGTAGGCTACTCGATACTGAAGTCACGGACGTATATAAAAAACCTGGACTTGCAACGCCTTTGTATGAAAAAGAAGCCAACCAGCGGCCATTTTACCGAGCAGAATACAAATGCGTGGGTTGGCTCGCTTCTATTGTCGTCAGGAAGAACAAAGGCGGGCATTGCTAGGAAAACTTTGTATTCGGCTCGGTAAAATGGCCGCGAGTGGATTCAATGATCTCTATAAGCTGATTAAGGGCATTGCGAGTCCAGATTTTTATCATACACGTCCGTGACTGAAGTGTGCAAATACACGACGGGAATTCCAGTGAATGTGTATCTGTTCTCAGTGCAAATGATGACCACCAGTTGATGAAAATAAAACGAACAAAAGACACCCAATAAACCTGCGATATCACTTCATCATTGGTTAAAATATTTACATTTATTCAGCCAATGTGGTGAAAGACACAACGAGCCTACTGTTATGCATTAAGAACCTGGTTTTGCCTCCTATGACCTTCAGACCATGAGTTCTGAAATAGTATGTTCGGGGATATAAAAAGATTGCAGAAGAACGAAATTTTATTCGCTTTCAGAATCTGTGGCCTTTGCTCAAGGCCCACTATTGTGATGTATAGGCTCTCAGTCCCTACTGATTCTGTGGGTATGCTGGATTTCCGGAGTTTTCATTACCTCTAAAATTAAACTGATTTTTTTTCATTGTGCTCCCCTTTATGTGTCGTTAGGTGTTCGATCAACAGTGCCTATTCGTTTTAAAGGAGGCTTTGGTTCCATTAAAAATGTACGTACATGTGATTCATTGCATTTACGTATTACTACGGCATCTTAATTAATACAGATGACATTTTCAATTTCATCAGGACTTTGCCTTGATCAATGAATGTACAAGATGACAGAAAAAGCGGCTTTGGTAAAAATTAAAGTTGCTCAGAAATTAAAAAAATTCGGTTAATCAATGATCAAGGTCCTCTTTAATAATATGGTGAATCCAATTACATAAAAAATCGACGTGTCTCTAGGGCGCCCTTCATTTTGATGTTGGACTAACTACCATCCAGTTCCTACACCGCCTTTTGGACTACGAATACTAGGGCTGGTAACGAATAAGGAATTCCGGAGGAATTCTTAGAGATTGATATTAATTTGAAAATTAGCATGTGGATGCTCACACGATGCGATGTGCACTCTGTAAGTTCCTTTGCTAATCATATATTTTCCTCTTTACAACTGAACACGAGTCAAGTATACATTGCTTGTGAATGTGGTTAATGAGCAAGATGTATCGATGATACATTTTAGTTGCCACATGACAAGAAACACTGTGATTAAATGAATTCTGACCAACCTCTTTGCACGGCTTCCGACGATGTAAATTGAATAATGAATAAAGCGTCAATTTTAATTTTTTATTTGGATTTACTTATCGAAACACTACTCGAATCAGAAAATCAAACGACACTTTCTACACGTTTCAAATGCTTATTATGTTAAGGAGACGTCACTTTTAAATGAATGTAACAAGTTTTATACAAAAAATTCATTTGTTTTTAAAAATGAAACTGGCCATCAGCAAACCTGTATTATCCTATTGTACGATTTGAGCATAAAACTTAAAAGACGGAAAAAGTTGTTCGAACAAATTGCGGAGCGCAAATCAATACATTCTAATTTGGTTGCAGTTGGTTTCCCGTCAATACTCGCTCTTGCAGGTTTTCTCTGGGTATTCCGGTTTCCTCTTGCCCCTAAAACTGGACCTTATTCCTAACTCCGTAATGTGATGCTGATTAATAAAGGCTATGAATAAACGTATAATTATTGGCACAAATAGGTGTGGCGAGGGCAGCGTACGTTAGTTAAACTTGCTCTAACTTGGCACCGCGATACTTTGATATTCAGATTGTCACCCACCTCTTTCCACTTTCCATTGTTCCTATGAAGATGTTCGAACTCTCATGTGCCCTCCCCCAACGAAAGTCAACCCCCTTGAATGCTCCCCTTTAAAATTCTGAACCTACGCTGGAACAGCTATTATTTTTTTCAGCGTGCCCTTGCAGAATTTCACTCTTATTACGCCACTGGTTATTTGTTCCAATTCGAGTTTTGTTACATATTGCAGACCTTGTAAAACCAGAAGATGTTTTTAAGAATGATTATTATGAAGTCTGGTCTGCTCTCTAGTCTGCATCTGTGTGTCAATTGATTAGAAAGTTGTGTGTACGTGCAATATAAATTTTCCCAAGATTTCCCTGGGCTTAAATTTTATAATGCGATTGCTAATTTCGAGGGCTAGTTTTCCTTTTTTTGAAATTGTAATTCACAGTTACGACATTTGAATTCGTTTCTTTTAGACAAATTCGTCTCGTTGGTAAGGGTGCACTGCAAAAGCGAATTCATTTTATGTCATTCACTCAACGAGCTTGGCATTGAACTTATTTTATCTAATTGTTTCGTTTTACTCAGAATTTATATACCATCAAAATGTGCGTGGGGTTCAAAATGCTGGTTACACAACACACCTCGTAAAAAACGCTGGAAATTGTTTTCACAACGCAGGTACCGGGAGAATCGCCCAGTTGTTTGGTAAGAATCCGCAGTGATTCTGTCCAGATATATGGACAAGCTTGACTTGTTTTGTCCAAAAATTTTAGAAAATTTCATTTTCAAAACCATGTTTTTTATTAAGTGTTATGGTCTTTTTGCCCAGCAGCAAAGCGATTCACCGGGCTGCTGGTGCTTGGCAAACAGTATTTGTTCAGTGCAACAAGGAATTAAATAGCAGAAAGGTGGGTTAGCTACTTTTTTGTCAACAGATATTACATAACAAGTGACATGGTCTAATGTTGGGCTGTGTATATACAAACAAATACTTAAAAAAAAACCTGGAAATCTACCCTCCAGTGCTGTGATGGGGCAGAGGCTACGTCCAACAGAAAACGGAAAATGAGCAATATCTACAGCAGAGTAAACAATAATGTGAAATTATCATAGAAAATAATATCGCCCCCCCTTTGTTACATGAACGACATAACTATTTATTGTAGACAAATTTGAACACGAGCAGTTTAATGTCTGATGGAAATTTCTTTTACACAGACAATAGCAAGTGGATCCCTGGGTCGCCTGATAATCAATCAATCCTGCCTCTTCTACTCTGGCGCCGCCCGAACAACATGGCGGCCTCCACCAAGGTAAAAATGGGTGTACTTTGCCTTTTGCGATCGGCCATTTTGAACATTGCGCATTATATTCATCTCGTAAGAATACTGTGCCGACCCTGCCCTTGTTCGAGTGCTTCCCATTGGGCTCTTTGCGCTATTCCTTTGCTTACCCGGCAAGCAGGCAACTAAAAGACTCCGATAGCTCCGCCCACTCAAGGCATAAACAAATGGGTTAATGGCAGAGTTAGAATAGGAGAGGCAAAGACAGAAGATGTTGAAATTATAGAATGAGTCACTGGCATGGCGTCGCTTAGGCTGAAACAAAGCCACCAAATGCATTGCATGGATTGGTCCCCAGCAAACGCCGAATAACACAACAACCAATAACGTCATGCGCGTGATCTTCCATCTGCGTCTTCGCTGCGCCAGTGTAGATGACGACACGACGAGGTACTTACTCCAGACAGTGCGCAGAATCCGACGGTAGCAGAATGCCATGACAATGAACGGCAGCACATACATGATGGACACAGCGTAGAACTCGTAACCTTTTTGTGCGTCCAGGCTAATAAACCTTCTGGCGCAAAAAGTTTCTCCGTCCGTCACGACTGTTTCCATTTCGTAGAACACGGCAACAGGAATGTGTAGTAAAAACGATGCTGTAGTAGAAAGGAGACGAAACAACATTATTTACTGTATTTGTCATCCACCGCGGTGATTATGTTTATCTCTTCTATTGAACATTATTCTGTGGGATACATCACTCAACCAAGGCATTATCAGCCTGGATTACCCATCCATGACTGACAAAGGGTGCCTTCGGCTAGCTTCCACAAACTACACGGTTTAACCTCGTTCCCACTGTCTCTCTGGTTTGACACAGCCTACACGACCATGCCCAGACCTGGTCAGAGTCGGCGTATGCTAATTCAACACACCCAAACAGAAAGGCTGATCTGTCAATTGAACAGCGTTGCCGCAAGCGATTTTTATCTACAAGTCGTTAATGGAAGAGAAATCAGCCAATCAAATTGTGTTTTTCCCATTCATGATTATATACTATAATAATTCAGGGTACAACTTAGCACAACTGCCATGTTTACAGTGCATCACTGTTTCAGCCCACGGTTTGGGTACTACATGTGTACTTGTTGATCTTATTCCCGTCTTGACTGTATATAGCAATTTGATTCATTTATTTTATTACTCCCACAGGCATCCATAAATGTTGTTCCCCGTAGCGCGGACAGTTTGAAGAAACACTAGTGGTAACCTAATGGGTACCCATGGACAAATGCAAGCGTCATAGTCTTCACGTCGGCGTATTTGAAGTCAGTAGACAAAAAAAAAACACTATCGCGTTATAGGGGAAAGGACGCGGCCGGGATTTCACCGTCGTGGTTGATTGTGTGAATGTACATGTACATATGACACAGGACACATGTCCGACCCGATGGCAACTTGAATAAAATACGGGTGCCATCGGCTTGCACCCAGAATATATCATCATGATTGAGACTTCGGAAACTTAAATTTAATTGGTAAATTTTTCTTCCACAGACGACGTTTAGTGCCGAGACAAAAGCACTTGCCGGCCGGCAACAACGGTATCCGCCAGGGGCGTCATGTAGAAAGTCTAGATTTGCAATTCCCTTAAGCCGTTTTTGTTTCATACGGACTTGGATCACGACCAGTGATCCGTTGTTGATTTACAGACTCTAAAGTCGCCTAACTGATGGTCTGAACCAGCGTTAGGATCAATCACTGAGATCCACATCCGTGTGAAATAAACAGGCCCATCATCAGCTGACATAGGTAATTGAATCCACCGGCCGCCATCTTACCGTGTCGAATACAGTGGCAATACAAAGGCTTGCTCACCATTGTTAACCAAATCGAGTGGCAACAAGCTTAAGCATGGTTTCCATATCGACGGAAAGAGACTCACGCAAAATCAACAGACATTTCTCTAGCGTCGGAAACGTTTTGAGTGGATATTTCATGACTAAAATACATCGCCACAAGATCATTGTTCGTCTTTAAGCGTTTTTTAGACTGGAAAATAAATACGTTTATACGGGAGTGACGGGAAATGCCAAACACGGCTGCCTCATTTTACCGCCTGATCTGTCGCCTCTGAAAGGAAATATCCACACAAACAATATGAATTTATTTTGAACTTAAGTCAGGTGTGCCATATTCTTTGAAGGTAATAAAAAGTCAACCTCCGCATCAAATAGTGCTGCAAGCATGTGTCAAGGTTCGGTTCGATTCAGACACGGCTCGGAAATTTTTGGCCGAACTTCGGATCGGTTGGGGTTCGGACATGTACACACATGTACACGTACAATTCACAGTGAGACATCGAAAGGCTCGCTACGGTCGTGCTGCATAGGCCTGTATAGTATTTCTGTGTATAAAATTATGAATCTCCCACTCTCCCCATCCACGAGCAACTTTGATTTGATTACATTTTTTGTAAACTGTTTCCCCGGAGTTTGTTTACGAGTGCATTCTATATAAAGTTACAGGTAGAGATGTGACAGTTTCTGCCCGTGTTTTGCCAACCAGAAGCGGTTGTGTTCGGACCACGCTTGACTCAACAAAACGATAGTAATGTGCAAATAGAAAAAACAGCATGCTCAAACAAGACTTTCCTCTTTCAGTACAGAATACAATATTAAAAAACAAATTTCGAGCGAATTGTGTTTGGGTTATTTTTGCGAAATGGATTCAACTTACGAAAACGGCTTTCGTTGCATATCTGAGGAGGAACCTTTCCAAGGAAGGTGTGCACGTGGCCAAAGGGGAGATTTTCCATCAGCCTCTTTTGGAGGGATTACAGCATTTTGTTATTTGAGATCTGGCGAAATTCCATTGCAACGCAACAATCAAACCCTTCATGGTCAAATGAAAGGCAAGTTAGGCCACCGCGCGAACAAAAATCTCGCGTGCTGCGCTGCAGCACAGCTTGCACCCAACCGCTTGGCAAAATTTTCATCCGGGGATGCCTTGGATCGAGCGCGAGTCTGACTGTGATCAGCGTCCAATCAAAATTCGTTTTGCACAGCCATTTATGAGACAATCGGCCTAATATGGAATGTCATAACCATAATATGGAGCGTATGGGCGCGGCTATCGGAAATTGGCAAATACAATAATAAATCTCGATACACATGAGCACGATTGGATGAAGTGAGAATTTAGAAATGTTATGCAGCGACAATGCCATACATTGGATGTTCTTGGTTGATTTCTGAGTGATTCTCACCACATGCTTTTTACAACCATTTCATGATGCGGGCCATTGTAAGTTTCAGTATGTTCACGCACGTGTGGAGCACGCCGTACAACTCGTTATCCATTTTTCATCCATGTATTCCCGCGTGCCATCAATGAAATGCCTTATTAAAGCCGTACATCCGAACCGAACAGTTTGGTTCGGTTCGAAAGTGCCTTGTTTGATGATTTTTGCCTTGGTTCGGCAGTTCGCCTGCAGCACTAGATTAAATTGTGTTTATTTTTTTCAATTTACTGTGCATTAAAGTTTAATAGGTAAAGTCAAACACCAGAGATTAGTATAAAACCCGACATGTTTGTTTTCCAACATGAATTTTGTGCAGCCACAAAGTATTCAAAGAGTACAAAAGAATCGTACGTATAAAACATATTGCAACGTGCACGCATACACTACTGACTTCAAGGAAAAACATGTATCCTTAAATCGTACAAGTGGGCATGTTTCAAAAATGGTCACCACAGGGGTGAAATGTCTAAAAGCCTTGAACAAGATTTATGTGTTATTTATTTTAAGCTAGTAAACCAAATTTTGCCATTTTGTACGAAAAAAGCTGAATTTGTATGTTTCTCTTGGTGATAATTGGGTTTGATAATTGGGTCAGTGATATTAATGCATGTCGGACGGAATTTGTTCCCATGTAAGAAGATCCTTCTCAACTGAGTACAATTGCCTTGACATTCTATTTTTTTTCAACAAAACAATTATTCAGATTGTCTTTAAACAATAACAGCTTCCTCCATACCGTAGTAAATCTTAGAAAGTCATTCCAAGTAATGATTTTTGTCGTTATGATTTCGTCCGACATGGATTAAGTTCCGAAAAAGTTTTTTTCTCTCAACCACTTATTTTAATAAAAGTGTGACTATTGCCAAGTATCAGTTAATAGACTAATTAAAAATAACCCCAATTTTTTTTCTCCTTTTCACTTTCAGAGTTATAATGAAAAGAAGTGTTTTTTCGTCCGACATGATGTCTGCATGTCGAAATTGGACTTTACATGCGTAGAAAAAATTTGCATTCAAGTAACCAAAGTTTATTCTGTTCAGATTTTACCGGATAAAAGAATTTACAACAGAATTCAGAAAGTATTTGAGTTTCAATTGGTACAATTTTGAGATAAGATAAGATAATGAATCGATAAGATTCTGAATGACTTTTGAACCTACCTACACGTCCTGTCTACATATGATACATTATGCGCTATACACAAGATATGCAGCACTGGAATGAAACATGTGATAGGCATGTGATATGAAGAACTCTGTACATGTGATAGGTATGTGAAACTCATAAGCTTTAACAAACTAAGGGCTAGGCCAGACCTGGGCTGATGAATAGGTGAGGCCTAGCACAAGCCTATACTTGTAGTTAAACTTGCACGTTTTGTGGCTTCAGTGCAACTGCCATAGCCCCATGCGGCGTCAGCTTCGACATATCAGTTGGATTTTCCCATCAGTACCAGATTTATTATACATTTGTAAAACTAATTATAAATTAAAAAACTGCATGTCTGTTGAAGAATTCTCCTTATTACAAAATCAGCTGGATGTAGCAAAATGTATTAGAATGCTTCAGTAGGGAGTCTGCTTCCATTCACAAAGCTGAAAATGCTCAGTCTTTATCAACTTTCAAGCCTTTGTGAATTTATAACCATTATTTTTGAATTAATAGTGTTTGTAATAATGAAAGTATGCTTAATTCGAAGTCATATTTTGTTTTTCATAATATAGGGCAAAATGTCCATGCATTCAAAAAATGCGGTGAGATGCAAGCGACACAGAGCATAAATGGATCAAGAACAGTACCGTGCCAAAAAGAGAGATCGTAAGAGAAAGTATCGAGAATGGTTACATCTGCACAAGAACAAGGAGGAACACGATCTTGAAAAATTTGAAGACAGACAACGCAAAGCCAAAAAGAAAGTAAAGCTAGCGCTGTCAGGTGAATCCATTGATTGTGAATCCAAATCGGACCCGCAAGAAGCTACACCCCAGCTGCAAGAAGATGGACCCGACTCACAAGCAGCCACACCCGACTCACAAAAGGCTATGGCCTCAACCTCAAGTTTGGCACCTTATGATCAAGAAACAAACCTGTATCCTAAGGGACCAGAGGTAACAGTACTTTGAGCAGACCTGGGTTCAAGTGCTGAATCATCATCTGTCACCCCCGACACTTCATCACCAAAAAGCCAGGACAAATGTTGTTGTCCTTTCAGCACAACACAAGCTTTACATAGAAGCATTAAAAGGGCAGAATCAATACTTCCTAAGGATACAGAGCAGCGAGTGTTTGTACTCTCTAACATCGTCAAAAGTTTAACTCCAACGAAGAAGAGCAAATTCCTCAACAATATGGGCAAAAAAAGCACAGAAAGAAACAAGGGCCGTACTTTGGCACTGAGTGAGGAATACAAAGCCTTCCTACTCAATTACCTTGAACAACCTGGCATCAGCTACACACTGCCGGGTAAAAAAGATAAAAAATACATGGGAAAGAATCTGGCGAAAAAATATACAAAACAAAGCACTATCTGCTCTGAACCCTTAGGGATCTGTATCAAATGCTGAATAGGGATGATGACCTTGATGCCATAACTATGAGTTTCAAGTCGAAATTCAATGCCGTGATTAAATTCTCAACCCTCCATCGGTTCATCAAGGGAGAGAAACATATCTTGTATCAGAAAGATATTCCTGAGGTTTGTTGCCTCTGTCAGAAGTGTGAAAATCTGGAGCTTCTCATACAAGGCATCAAGGGCACTCTTCCCGAAATAGAGCTACCAAAAGATGCAAAAAACATTGCAGATTCCTTCAATTGTAACAAAAGCCACAGGTCTTGCTCATATGGAGAATGTGTCAGTTGCCCGACGTATGAATCATCAACTCTTGATCACTGCGACAAAATACAGTATTTTCAATGGGTCACTGGTGAAGAGGGTAGAAGATTTCCTGAAAAAATGCCTAAAGTATCTACGGGTGAGGAAATAAAGAAACTACTTGACAACCAAATAGCGAAAATTAAGGTTCATAGTTACCTTAAGCACACTCAGTACAAAAAGTATCGGGACTTATCAGGAACTGAAAAGCAATGGAATCATAGTTCATGTTGACTTTTCAGAGAATTATGACAAGAAACAGCAACATGCCATACAAAGCGTATACTTTGGATATCAGTCTTTCTCATTGTACACAGTGTGTGTTTACCACAAGCAGAATGATAAAGTGAAAACACAGAGTTACGCCTTAGTCACAGAAACTACAGATCACAGCAGTAGTGTTGTGTTTGGCCTAAACCGATGCCTTCTGCAAATGCTGAAATCAAAGTTCAAACTTGACACAGTTCATTTTTTCTCAGATGGCTGTTCCGCACAGTTTCGAAGCAAACACTCATTCACGCATTTTACAAAATATGAACCTTATCTTAAATTCTACTGGAACTACTTTGAAACGAGTCATGGGAAAGGGCCAGTTGAAGGAGTAGGAGGAAGAGAGAAGTCTGTTGTCTACTGCAATGTCATGAGCAAACAAGTTGTTCTACAGAACCCAAAGCACTTTGCAGAGTATGCAAATAGTGTCCTCAAAGGAATGGATGTGCTCTTTGTTGGGGCAGAGGAAATGTCAGTAGATGAATCTAAAGAGAACTCAGTTGTAATTTCAGGCACGCTTATTAAAGTCAGATATGTGGAACGGATCATTCAGAAAGAATCTGTCCTTCTCAAGTTCTCCAAAGAAAGTCCTTTCGGTCCTCCACAAAAAGTCGGGCACCATTTTGTCCGTCTGAACGCCAGAGTACCGCATACAACTTTCTTCACGGCGCAGTATGGAAAATAACCGTACGGGCCAACGCTTGTGTGCATATACATGTATGTACATAAGTTAACATGCACGAACGTGTGATGTTTAGGGTACGCGGCGTGTGGATTGGGCGAGTGCGGTGGGCGAGGCAATATCTGCATTAGACATACAAAAATATCTACGAGAGAGTAACGCATGCAGTCATCCTTAATAGCAAAAACATTTATTGGGCCCTTTAAAATAGCGAAACAAACATTGAATATGAGGTTAAACGGACAGAGGTGTACTCTACAGGTGTGCATTAAAACGACTTCTTTGTTTTCAGTAATCTTTTAAGCTTGCATTTTCAACAAGCTACTGTTTTTACGTACAGGCATACTTAACCCCCTTTATATTTCTTGTTCATCCATTTTCTCAATATTCGTCATTTATTTTGTCACCTGTTTGAGGTTTTGTATTCACTTCATATCTAATCAAAATTACAAATACATACTCCTTAGTGTCCATGCACTTCCCCCTATGTAAGATCTTTATGAGAACATATTGCCCCTTCAGCTTATTTCATATCCAAGAAACGTCAACAGTTTTTGTTCTACGTGTAGTAATCTTAACGACCCGACACAATTCAAATGATACACTGGACCCAAATGTGCAATGCAGATGGGTACATGTGCATATAAGTTTAGAAATTTAATAGGCTACTTACTTATCCATATTACGATGTTAATAAATGTGGCTCTCCGCACCGTTCTTGTGTGAAGCGATTTCATTGGGTGAAGCACAACCATATAGCGGTCTATTGTCATTGCAGTAATTGTAGAACACGACGCCTGGACAGAAACCTGTTGCAAATGATAAAATCACCATTACACTTTTGAGGAAAAGGGCACCAGTAATGAAATGAAATACTGACAATCTTATTACACCTATCTCCTTCGATGTAAACCCCTACTTGGATATCGTAATTAATGGGAGACTTTGAGAGGCTGGTGGCAGCAGACATACCGGTCCTTTTCAAGGTACTGCGCATGCTCAAAACTATGCACGCAAGCTCAGAGCAACACACGCATGCTCAGAACCAGAGAGATCGCTGTGATCTCTTTGCTGAGAACATTGGCATGTAGTAAGTTTCCTGCTTACGACGTAGCAGTGGCGTAAATTTGTGCAGGAAATCGGGGTGTGTTTGGGGGGGCAGAGACTTTTTTTTTTGGGGGGGGCCTTCAGCTGTCTTGTTATACGTAAGGCGGAAAAGCCCCACGGACAGCGACGTATGGAAACAATTTGATACAGAACTAGAACGTATGAGGTTTCAGTTTTGTACGCCACATTAGTACCAAAATGTATTCCTAAAAGCAAACATTTCTTACTTGCACGATGGTTGATGTGTCGTTTGTTCGCACTGCAGTTCCTTTGAGTTAATTTCTGGGTAAAATCAATAAATTTTGCTTTTGAAGAAATCAGCGTCAGCAATATTGCTATGTTCCTGCGTGCATCATCACTTACGGGGTCATGCCGAAACGATCTTAAACCTACCCGTGTACGTGTTGTGATATTCGGATACGCGTACGAACACGAACAAATTAACCTGTATGCCAAAATGGTCTAATATCTCATCAGTATCCCCGATACCATCCACATTGGCCTTTATAGGGCTGTTAATAATTTGCAAAACTACAACTGATTTCAGCATGTTTGACTGCATGAATCACACAACTGCAGTCGAAAAACTCATGCGACTTTGTGTTGACAGGACTCTCATCCCAATAATACGTAATATTTTTAAAATCAAATCATTCCAAAAATGTTCGTTTTGGAGCTTTACTTCCACTTAACTAGATCCATGGCCCCCAGAGGAAAGCCACCCATGTCAGATCCGAAGATGGTGACATCATCACGACCGAGGATGCTTATCTTGGCCGGAGGATGGAACATTTCAGGGAGCACTTCCACCGACCGCCCCCACCCAACCCCCTTCTCTCATTGACACTGCCACCATAAAGGATAGCACTGACGCTGTATCATGCCCATCCTCCGTCACGACGTTGTCATCGCTCTCCGGAGTCTCAAGAACAAAAAAAGCCCCAGGCATCTGCAGTATCGCCGCAGTAGTGGGGGGGGGGCTGTCTAGCACAATCTGACCTTTGCTACAAAATAGCAAATAATAATTATGATCATATTGATATGATCAGGATTGAGGTGTAGGGGTGAAAAAATTTGACACAAGATGACCTAAGGATGAATAGTAAAAGCATAGGGTCAAAAAGTCTTGTGTCACAGTGACCTTTGATATGGGATGAACACGTATATAAAATATTGTAAGGACAGAAAATGTGGTACACATTGACCTTTTCTATGAATTATGACACAACAGGATAAAATAGGATGATACAAATAGATGATGATTCATGTTGCGTGATGTCGTGGGAAAATACCGACTAGCCCACCAGGAGTTCCTAGATTAATCAATTTGCAGTAAGTGATAATCCTTAGACATACAATGGCCAGTACGTGGTGCCGGGTAATGGGGGATAATCCTTCGGACAAAAGGCTGTGCGCTGCGCTGTGTGGTGGCTAGTGTGTACTTCGGAGTGAGTGTTATTCTGACTTAATCCTTGGACACTAAATGAGTGAGGGCGGGCACATGTTAACGGTTTTGCCTTGGGCTTACTGTGGTTAGGGAGATCTGATCAATACAGTAAGAAGACCTGGCTGGCCCTGGCTGAATTTCTTAATCCTTTGAACTATTGTTTTACGTCCCGTTACCATGCACGTGTATATGGTTTTCGAAAAAGTCTTGCTTGACTGCCTAGAGGGTCTTTCTGTTTGTCTTCTGCCTGGCTTGATCTTCATCCATGTCTTCGTTGACGTACTTGTAATATTTTCCATTCCTCGTCTCCCAGTTCGTTTCTCTGCCTTCAGCCAGCCAATGTTGGTAGGTGGCATTGTCTTCCGATTCTGAACCGTCTTCATCTGAGGTTTCGTCATCAACCTTCTCAATGGGTTCCAAATTCTCTTCAACTTCACTCATGCCTGTTTCCTCCTCAGCGTGGATATGTGGCTCTCTAGATTAGACTTCCGCTCAAAACATTTGTCACACTGGTCACAAGCATAAGGCTCTTCTGCGGAAATAACATTCATGTTGACCCTTGGAAGGATGACCTTTAAATGATACGCAACAAATGAAATCGTTCAATCTATAATGTATTTACATAGACGTGTATATGTATTTCAATGCTCATGATTTGCTTTATTTCCTTGCTCTTTCATCATTTCCATTGCTCTTTTACTCATTTCATTGCCCTTTTACTCATTTCATTGTTAATTTTGCTCTTTCCATTGTTCATTTGCTCTTTTCATTGTTCTTTTATTGTTCAACTCAATGTGATAGCGTTCCTTTAAAAGATTTGACGCAAGTTGATTTTTGAAAACCGAAACGCCCAGTTCATCAAACAAGGCGGGGACCGTATAGTTGACTGGTTAATCACCGTCATTAACCATGTTGTAAAAATATGTCTTATGCACCGTTTGGTCTAAAGATGGCGCTATACTCTGCATCACTGTGAAACATGGCTGCTTCCACAAAGTGCTGAACCTGCATGAATACTTATGACACTCGTGTCATAATTTTCGTCATACCCGCGCTTGAAACACATGAATGGGTGACAGAGGAGGGCCCAGATGACTGGCGACGTGGCGTCATCCCTCCATCCTGGGAAGAAAGGGGGACCAGCCGGACCGTCCCGTTCCACAACCGACCATGTCTCAGCTCTCAGACTGATCATCGAGAAGTTCCGTGAATATCGAAGGGATTGACACCTCTTCATTTCCTTCATTGACTTGACTTTCCAGACTTTTTCATCCTGCTCTCCTGTATCCGTGTCAACGGCAAGGAATCTGGCTGGTTTCCTATCGCCGGAGGTGTGCGCCAAGGCTGCGTGGCTTCTCCGGATTTATTCAACTGCATTATCTGTCGTCTCATGGATGCAGTTTGTGCCCGTTTCCCTAGGGTGCAGCTTAGTTAGTACTACCTGACAGACCTTGACTACGTCGACGACACGAGGCTCTTCTGTCAGTCCCATGCCGAGTTGGTGGATGCGCTACACGTTTTTGACGCGGAGGCAATTAAGCTCGGTCTCTGAGTCAACTGGTCGAAAACCAAACAGATTTATGTCCTTGACGGCCCCACATAACCACCCATCATCATCGGAGCTGATACAGTTGAATTTGTCAAGACCTTCGTCTACCTTGGATCTGAGGTCACCAACAACGGCAACCCCGAGTAGGAGAGCAACAGACAACGAGGACTGGCCGCTGGTGTCATGCGGAGCCTGTGGGGACCTCTGTGGAGACGACTTGACATGTCCTGTCCTTGTTGTTGTACGGAGCTGAGACGTGGCTGCTGACCAAGATTGTAGCGGCCCGTGGGCATGGCTTTGAGTCCTGCACCCTTAGGACCGTCGAGGGTGTGCGTTAGCAAGACCATGCGTCCAACGAGGAACTTAGCCTCAGAACTGGCCAGATGAACGTGCTCCGTGTACTCGCCCAGCGCAGAGTCAGGTGGCTTGGTCAAATTCTTCATCGTCCTGCTGATCATTCCACCTGAGTCATTTTCAAACTCAACCTATCTTTGTCCGGCTGGAAGTTTCCTCGCGGTCACCCCTGCAGCCGATGGAAGGACGTCGTTCAGCAAGACCTCCAACAGATCGACCTCAAGCAGGAGGACGCTCGGCACTCACTCAATACCATGCACGATGGAGGCGGTCAGTGGATCAACTTGGCTCAACGCCGTCATGGCTTGAGACTTAGTTGTAGTACCTGTATTACTTGTTCTTATCTCAATCACACCTGTGGTGTTCCACGAGGAACAAAACAAGAACTAATCAGTTTCCTTGCCATGGTAAAAGATACAATTTAAACAATAGCAAATCCTTGGAAATATGTGGATGAGTGGATAAGTCTTGTTGAAATCATAACCAAGCTGCAATCGTCGAGTATGCAATCACAAATTAACTCACTTGTCGAATGATGTTCTAAGAATGATATGAAACCAAACCCAGAAAAAAGCAAGGCCTTGTAGCTCTTATTTATCCGCAATCTCAGACTTTCAAATCATTTCGTCTCCAATGTGACACAAGATGGGACCTGCAAGCCCAACAATGCGTCACCATTGCTTCACGTAGACTATATATCCTTCACATTCTTCGATTCAATTAGTAATCGAGAACCACATCTCAATGCATTTCACCATAAAGATACATTTGAAAACAGCGCAGTGAATAGAACTTATGATCTATTTTAAATATTTGCTGTGGCAGGATATCAATTTGACGCCCGGCAACATCTTACACATACGAGGTACACATTCAAAGATTTAACTTGCCATTATCTCCCTGCGGTGAGATAATAACTCGAAAAAGTTCTTTGCAAGTGGCCTTTATACGCTTGCGGAAGCCACCACTGGCTTCATTAAAATAATTTTTGAGGTCCGCATTCATGAGCACAGCTGATTAGCCAACTGCGTGACCCATTGTGTCAGAGGGGTGTTACGCGTTACATGAATTCATTGACGCCAATTCATCACTGATAATTTTTAAGTGTCTAAACAGTACGGATTTTGAGTTTAATGAAATGTTTAAATGGCTGCTTTTATCACAGTGAAGAATCTACCCGTAATTAACATACTGAGCATGCGAAACATCGTTAAAAACAGACCTGCAGCAACCCGCTGTGAGTGTCTCATCCACATATTGGCTATTGTGCAATTCTATGGAGGCTTTTTACGTGCAGAAAACGTGAAGAGTTTCTTATAATCACTGAGTTAAGATTTGGTCATGTTTGTAGT